GCCAATCAAATTGCGGGACAACCAATGAGAAAGAGCTGTAGAACAATGCGCGGGTTAGAGAAAATGATACCAAAGATCGTGTTGTTCGGATTTAAAAACTACGAGATGTTCAACAAAAAAGGAGGGGCAGTGAGTGGAAGGACTCGAAAAAGGACCCGAAACAGAAACGGCAGGACTTGGGACTTGACTTGACACTTTTCAGTCTTGACTTGGACTCGACTCGGACTTCGCCTATTTTGACCTGAGACTTGATTCGGACTTGAGTGCAAAGACTTGAGACTTGCTTGTGACTTGCAAAGCAATGACTTGGTCCCACCTCTGTCGGTCACTGTCCAATCATACATCCTAGCAGCCGGTTCTATGTAAACAAGGTCCTTCAAGCTGGCCCTCTGACAAGTGGTGAAGCCATGTGTCAACCCGCTGAACTGATTTAAGACAGAAGTAGCATTAGCTCTCTGTTTTGGAAATAGGATGGGATAGGACTTTGTTTATTCCTGAACGTAAGTTATTCAGTGGACACAGCAGAAAGGTACGGAGAAGAGTTCATCCACGATCGAAACACCAAAATGCAACACTCCCAGTATTCCTTCCCGATATCGGTTATAAGTTATCCATTTCCCATAACTATGGACATGAGGACATGTTCGTTTCGCCCCCCCCCCTTAGAATTCTATCCCCAAGGTGGCGCCTTAGGGGACAGAAATTTTTTCACCCCCCACCCCCCGGCTAACCCACACCCCGCAAATTAAGAACCTGATAACATGTATATTTCTTATCTGTACAAACCACTGTATGAGTTGCTGCCACCTAGTGGACTGGAGGCTTGTTATCATTCAAGCATTACAGCAGTGGTACACTTATGTCCATCGTGCCATATTCCATTGGAAGTCCCTCACACCCCCCCCGGTACCTCACACCGCCCCGCTATTTAAAACACGCTCCTGTGTTTTCAACCTCCATTTCTTTTTTCCAGTTGAACAAAAACGACACGTAAACCTTTAACAACTCCAGTCGCGTGTGTGTTCCTCTCAGGTACGTCTCTTCTAGTCCCTGCTCTGCCTGCGCGGAAAAGATCGCCGAGGTGCTGAAGGCCAGGAAAAACATCAAGTTGAGCATTTTTGCAGCGCGGCTCTTTGAGTGGGAAGAAGCGGAGATCCAGGCCGGGATGAAGAGCCTGAATGCTGCCGGCTGCAAACTGAGGGTGATGAAACCTTTGGACTTTTCCTACATCTGGGACACGTTTGTGGAAAACGAGGACCAACCTCTGAACCTGTGGGAAGATTGTAAAGACAACTATGAATATTACCACGAGAAGCTGTCTGAGATTCTTCAGTGAGCAGTGACATATACACAGGTATGAAAGTCCCCAACCTCTGACCCCTGACCCGAAGCACAGCACATTTACATGAAGTAAATAATACTAAGATATATATATAAATATATATAAATAAATATATATATATGTAAAAACTCAGAAGGTTCTAATATGACCCGATCTGTTTGGAACATTTTGACTTTTTTTGTAAAAAAAAAAAAATTCTTCATTTTTTAGCAAAAGAACAAATAAATATTTTTAAGTAAATTGTAATTTTTTCAAGGAAAAAAAATGGCCCAGTATATCATATAGTCGTGTATACTGACAAGAATCTGGCGATACGATACATACAGTATCACAATACAGGGGTAAGGCTATACTGTGATATACTGCAATACTACGTGACGATATATTGAGGTTTTTTTTTTAAACAATTATTAAATCATTATTAATTGTTAAATATATATCATAATATATATATAATTAGATTAATTATGTAATAACTTTACAGTGGAACCCGTGGATTCGAGCTTCCCAAAATACGAGTATTCCATTGCGAGATTTTGCTCGTGATACAAGGAAATATTTAGTTACGAGTGCTCAACCGAGGGCTGGCGTCAGCTTAATCGTACGGCGCGGGGAGGCCGAAAGCTCAGATGCCAAAGCTGCTGCGGAGTTCGTTATATATATATATATAAATATATAAATATATATATAAAAATATATGTGTATATATATACCTTAGCGGCCCCGTCTCGCTCACTGTCCCTCGGTAGGTCACTTTACTCATTTTTATAACAATAATATAAAATGTTTCCTTAGTTATTATTATTTTAAATTATCAATATATTTGTTTATTATATTTATGTTTTTGATGTTTAGATGGGAGGGGTTAATTTAATTTATTAATAGTATATTTCTGGTAGGCTGGAACAAATTCATTCGTTTTTCAGTTATTTTGAATGGGGAAAAACATACGGAAAATCGATACAGCATCACGAAAGTGCATCAATATAGTACTGTGGTACTATCTGTTTGTTCCCACAGATCAACAAACCGGAGTTCGACGTCCGACGTTGGCCGTGATCCGTTCACTGCCGCAGTTTCTCTATGTGTAACAATTTATCTGGAACCTCCATCGAACAGACGACACTTTCCCCAACAAACCGCAGACATGATTCTCCACACGTTTTTGCACAAACCGATTTTGAGTTTCGAAGGATTCCCTGTTTGATGAGTGTGTTTACGTTCATATAATATATGGAATATACATGAACATGAAGCCACTTTAATTTGTTTACTGCGTTCTCCCTTTTTTCCTTCTCTCTCTCTGTCTCTCTCTGTCTCTCTCCATCTCTTTCTCCTTGTGTGGTTGAGGCCATGTTAGATGTGTATGTGTGCGTCGGCGTGCGTGTGTGTGTGTATGTGAGTGACTGGTTGACTGAGTTAAAGTGACTGCACTTCAGTTTTTGTTTTTTTGTTTTGTTTTTTTTTTAATCCTAATTTGTCTCAGTCAACCTGTTCCACGACCAGATTAAATTATTGTTGGAAAAAAAAAAAAATCTCCCCGACAGTGGGTTGACGGCAGACGGTACAGACATACAGTCATTTTTGTTGCTTCACACTGACGATGTCTGAACACCAAAGTGTCACGCCTGTTTTTTTTTTTAAAAACATCTGTTCAATATTTGTGAAACCAAACTGTTGTGATTCTCCTCAGACAGACATGAATAAAAGTGTTTGCCTGTGTCTACACCCGCGTCTGCACCTCTTGTCTTCACCACACCCTGTCGACACTCACTTAAAAATCTATGTTAGAAAACTCAGGACAGTGAGTGAATTTTATTTTTTGTATTTCTAAGAAAATATCATTGAGACCAGACATGGGCAAACTAAGGCCCGGGGGCCGGATGTGGCCCGTTTAGCTTTTTAACCCTTTGATGCATGACCCATGATATACTGAGTTTAAAAAATGTTACTAAGTGTTTTTATGTGTTTTTAGACATAAAAATAAGAACTGATTTGGTTCTGTTTTTATACACCAAATTTTCTTTTTGAATGTTGACACAATTATTCTGCAGTTGCAAAGGCTCACCACTGTATGGCAGTGTTGGGTGATTCTCAGGCATCCACTGTAGAGGCTTATATGCAACACTGCCATCAAAAACCTATTCTTATCATAGAAAATGACATTTTCATAGCTGTCCACTGTAGTGACCGTCATGCATGAAAGGGTTAATCGTTCCCACTAAACTTTTCCAAATGTATTTTTATTATCATAACACTTCTGCCTTTTCCCTGTAATACAAATATTTCCCCAACAGATGACATAGAAAATGCTAACAGTATGTTAGCATTTTAGCCTTTATGCATGACTTTTACGCTGTTCAATTTTAGGACAATTGTGGCCCGCGAGTCAAAACGTTTGCCTGATGTAGACCTATGACGAGTAGAGCAGGCAGACACGTAAACCTATGACGAGTAGAGCAGGCAGACACTCAGATTAACACATGACAGTGTTCATATTTTTACTCAACAAACAAAACAACCGATGACATCAGCTGTCAGCCTCACACTATCAGCAGTGATGTGGTTAGCACGCTTGCCTTACAGTAAAAAAAAAATTCAGATCTGTTTGAACCCCAGCTGGAGAAGTGATGGACATTGAAAAAGATATCTGATATCTGGCAACCCTTGCATCCTGCTTTTGTTGACAGATTTGTGGCCATCTCCAGAATTCTGCTCTTTCTTTTTTTCCCTCCCTCTTTACTGCCCTCACCCGGATGACTGCTGTAATTTCTACCCCTGCAGGCGTCACTTACACAGAACCGCCACTAGATTGTGCGCACGTGCCTTCGAAGTTCAAGCGGGATTAACAGAGAACTGAGAGCGATTTCTAAATGCGACACAAGATCTAATCAGTCAGATCAAAAATGTTGCCATGTATCAAATTGGAATTGAAATTGAAATACAAAGAAAAAAGACGCATCTGGCATATTTAAATAAAACACAACAGTCGGAAAGTGAGCGTTTTACGTTTTACCTGGTAGAGCACTATTTCATTATCCCGCAAGGGGGCAATGTCTGCACTCCCTTTTGTAACATCAGCCATCACCATCATATTGGTGACTGTACCGGATTTGGTGGTGAAAATGAAACATATTCGACTTACGTCTTCATTTTATATCAGGATTTTAATAATTATTTTATATCATGTGTAAAAGAATAGCTGTTACTGTATCTTGGCTGACTTCTTCTGAAGTCAGACTGAGCACATGATCGATTTGTTCTCGTAGCCCAGAGGTGTGGTTGGTGAAACGCTGCAGTGTGGAATGTGTTGGCACAGAATGTGGAATTTTACCAGGAAGACGTATGAATGTATTTTGGCTGATGGAGAAGAGACATAACTGTCAAAGACCTGGACACCTGCCATTGGACGATTGCACTCTCTGGGAAAGACACTTGTCCCCCAAGTTATTGTTATTGCTTATTTATTTATTAAATAAATATATAGCAATACTTCTCAAATAGTGGGGCGGGGGGCCCCCCTGGAGTGGCACGGTGAGGTGCCAGGAGGGGCAGGGAATATGGCATATACGCATATGGACATAAGTGTACCACTAGGTGGCAGCAACTCATACAGTGGTTTGTGCAGATAAAAATATATGCATGTGATCAGGTTCTCGATAGTATTTCAATTCGCAAGGTGTGGATTGGGGTTGGGGGGCGTGAAAACATTTCTCTCCTCAAGGCGGGGCGTGACAGGAAACAATTGAGAAGCACTGTCCTATAGGGTTGTTTTTTTTTTATGATGTCATCATATAGGTGAGTCTATACAAATAGATAGGGCATAAAAAAATGTTGTTGTTTTTCCAAGTGTTTCAACAGTTTGTTTTTTTGTTGTTGTTAAAACGTATGTGTGTTTTTGATTCAATGATTCAAACTGAAGTGTCCTTCTTACATAAGACCTCAGTCTGGTGATGGCAAACATGGATGACAAACAAACACTGTGCGCTGTTGTAACCGTATCGCCGTATCAGACGATGCGGTGGGAAACAAAGAGAGGAAAGGCGACACTACCTGTCAAAGCGTTGGCTAAAAATCTCAGCTAGCAGCCAGTAACAAAAAGCAACAATGGGGCTGAACCAGCAATTGTCTGAAGCGGTCCAGTGTTCAAAAAGTGGGCGGAGCCAGGGACGGACACTTTTGGGAATTTGTTATGTAATTCGCCATGAGGAAGTAAAAGGTACAAAAGTTTGTGGGGGGGAGGGAGGGGGACAAGACAGATAAGTAATTATAAGAGTAAATAAATAGAATGTAAGTCGCCATGTTGAATCCTATAGACCACATGTGTCAAACTCAAGGTCTGGGGGCCAAGTGTGGCCCACCCAGTCATTTTTTTATGGCCCGCAGGAGCTTCCATGTTGAATACTATAGAGCACATGTGTTAAACTTAAGGGCGGGGGGCCAAGTGTGGCCCACCCAGTCATTTTTTTTTGGCCTGCAGGAGCTTCCATGTTGGATCCTATCGAACAACTGGGTCACACTTAAGGTCTGGGGGCCAAGTGTGGCCCACCCAGTCATTTTTTTTTGGCCTGCAGGAGCTTCCCTGTTGGATCCTATAGACTACATGTGTCAAACTTAAGGTCTGGGGGACAAGTGTTGCCCCCCAAGTCATTTTACTTTGGCCCGCAGGAGCTTCCATGTTGAATCCTATAGACCACATGTGTCAAACTTAAGGTCTGGGGGCCAAGTGTGGCCCACCCAGTCATTTTTTTATGGCAGAGGGTTGGCCTGTCGTTCTTCGTTCCACATCATAATTAGCCGAAAGCATGTATTAAGTTGTACATGTCATTTACAGAGGAGTGTCACCTGTACATGCCTGCCCGCCTTCAGCCATCTTTGCTAATCAATTACAATCATCTTGTTCACCTGGAAGTCAGTGCCAAGTGAAAGCATCGGTTCAGGGACAGCTGCTGAGCCAAGGGAACAACTCACACAATGAAATATCTGTGTTCATTTGGCTGCTTGTTTAACAGTGACATCATGTTAGTGAAAAAAAAAAAAAAAAAAAAGATCATTAAAACACACACACACGCACGACCGCGCGCACACACATTTGGAGTTACACACACTTTTACACGCATATAAACACTGCAGCTGCATTTGTTGAAGAGGTTCGTGGCAGACTTCCTTGTTTTTGTAAGTTGTGAACATGAATTGATTAAAACAGGAAATTGTTACGTCTCACACACACACACACACACAAAGGTCACACTCCCTCTACTGAGAGCCATCGTCTCTTAATAACTAACAGGCCGTGACATCACCCAAACGCCATCTTTCACAAAGAAGGGCTCTTCTCCCGCGTCGGGGTCTGGAGCCATCACCTGGTTTAGCTTCAGCCACTTCGTTAAATTTGATAATAAAAGTGATGCGACTGTTTTTGGCCCAAAGCCGGTGGAACCTGTTCCGTTCAGTGCTTCAATTGTTTCATAATCCAGAAGTGTTACAGTAACAGTTGGTGTTTTCAGTACACGATCACAAACACACCCACACCCACACCACTGTGGTCTAGAAAATTAATAACTGTGGACACTCCAGTGTAAACAACTGACCCTCAATGAAAGCTTTGTCCACAGTTTGTCATCACACACACACACACACACCCTTTGTCCACAGTTTGTCCTCACACACACAAACACACACACACAAAAACACAAAATAAATATTTAAACATACAGGTAAAGTAAACGTTATTATAGTTTCAAGAATTTAGTGTCTGAAAAATCGCCCAGTAGGTGGCAGTAATGCAACTAGCAAGAGTCAGGTCTGCTGTTAGAGACCAAAGAAGAAGAAAGGTTGAAGGCGTTTACCTCTTCCTAGCCTGGTGAAAATTGACATGTACTGTCCGCTACTCGAAATAAAAAAACTCGCTAAACCCGCCAACACGACTTGAGCTAGCGCACTAGTAACATGCTAACAAGCTAAGAGTCTTTTAATGCGTCTTTTTTTTAAAATTCATATCCAGTGGACAATCAGTCTACGTCACCAGACGAAATTTTCAGATTTACATGAAACAATTTATGTGAATAAAAAAAGCAGGGCTTTAAATGTGTAATTAGCTCCAACTACAGGCCAGTGAGGGGAGTTACATGTTGAATGCCAACAAACCTTTACAACTCAGTTTAAAGTAACTGTGAGGAGTCTGGAGACCAGACCGGAGACCAGGTTCACGAGGTCTGGTCTCTCCAGTCTGTAGCTGGACATTTGATTTGTGGATGGAGATGATTTAGAGACTATGGTCATGACAGATATAACTGCCCTGCATTTGTATAACTTAGTAAATCCATATTCGTTTTTGACTTTCTTTTTAAACGTAAATCAGATGTAAATCGATTTATATTTGTTAAGGTTCAGCACATCTACGGTCTGATACTTTTTTCCTTCCATATATATATATACATATATATAAATATATATATAAATATATATAAATATATAAATATATATATAAATATATATATAAGGAAGGAAAATAGTATCAGACCGTAGATGTGCTGAACCTTAACAAATATAAATTGATAAGGTTCAGCATCAAATATATCAAATATATATATATATATATATTTGCTATGTTTGAATTAAACATAACATAGTTAAATACAAACTCACTTTTGTATTTAATTCAAATATTGAGAAGACAAACTCTGTCCTCTCCCTCCAAATGTTTCCAAATAAATAACATGAT